TCACATCCTTGGGTAAATGGGGTAAATGGGGTAAATGGGGTAAGTGCAAAAGTTGACAACCAAGTACCAACAATCACCTCTTTTCATATTCCTTTTTTTATATTATTTTTATTTTTGACTTTTACCCCCTTGTCCCCAATATTCAATTAGACAGACAGACAGTACAGAGATTCCTCCATCTATATTGTATTATATATGTAAAGCAGGAGTTTTAAACACCCAAAAAGAAGAGATTACGAAGCTTTTTTTCTTGTGTATCTGTTTGAATAGGGAAAGCCAAATTGATTTTCTTTTTGTTCAATTGTAGTGCGAACCGATTGGAAAGCAATACAATAACAAAAAAGTGTCACATGACAAGTTAACGTGTTGTTATTAACCGTATTATGATCCATATATATAGTTAGAATAATTTATAATTGGTTAATTACTACTTATCTTATTTTCGGCCGGCCGAAATTTAGAGAAAACACAATTAACAGCATTCAGATTTTTGTTTTGTAATGTGTTACATGCATATATATGATCAAACACTTGACAAGGACAATGAGTAGTAGGTCAATGGAAGCTAGGTATGTGCCAATTGCAACCTCCTTCCTCCACAAAATTAAAAGATAGAATAAAGAAATAAAATTAGGTCACATTCGCAGCACTTAAAAGGGTCCAAACTTTCTGTACCATTACACAGAAATTAATACTCCAAAAGGCAAAAGGTATAGAATTTTTTTTAAAAATTAGTTATGATATGGTTGTTGTCACACACAGCCTGTACATTTGTGCCAGCCAAACTTTTGTACCTCCTTTTAAACCTAGACACTTAAAAAATACAATGTTAATGTTATAGTACGTAATTTTCGAGTATTTTTTTAAATACAGTGGGCAGCAGCACTCAACTTGTATTTTAGTGGAAATTTTGGTCCCAAACCATTGAGAATGAATTGCTTAGCTACTGTTTTAAGTGACCTACGACTCACTCTAGGCCCTTGTGGTGGGCATGTCTTTATCCTTTTTAATATTGGTTAAACATGTCTTTATCCTTTTTAATATTGCCTAATTTTAGCCCACCATATCATAATGGAGCATACAATAATTTTGGCCCACCATATCACATGCTTGTCATTGCCTTCCCAAGGTTAACAATGGAACTCAACTTCCAAGGTTTAAAATATTCATTTAAGATAGTTTAATTGTGTTTGATAGACGAATTTGTTTGTTTTAAGGCCTGTTTGGTTCGTGGGAAAAAAAGTTTGGGTATGGAAAATCAATTGCTTTCTTATGTTTTGTAAGTTTAGGTATGAGAAATAGTTGATTGGCACATGAGAAAGTACGGGGGAAAGTGAAGCCCTCCTCCCCCATTAGATTTTGTTTTCCTCCTCATGGAAAAATTTGAGAAAATGAACCAATATTAAAAGTGCTTATGACAATTAATAGGGCATAGTTTAGTTGGTTGAGCTCTTTCACCTCCACTCACATAGGCAGAAATTCAAAACCCTCAGACACCCAATTTATACTCATACACATCGTTTTTTGTTGTTAGAGAGTAGTTTTAGCTTTTCTATAAGCAATCCCAATTATATCTTTAAAATTTGACGTGTTTCTAAGCAAAACATGTATCATTAGAGAAACAGTCACAAGCGAATTTTAAAGTTGCCGGCGTACGCTTCTAGGATACACATGTGACATGTGCATAGGTATTGATAACAACCCGTGAACCAAAGAATCGAAGGTGCCTGCTAAATATTATATACATGCGTTCGGATGAAGAACAGATAAGACACAATTAGCACAAAATAATATGTTTTATCGGACAAAAATCTGTTGATTTGTAAATTCATAATGCAGCGAGGAAGCAAAGTCCAAGAACAGTCAGCCCACGATCAAAGGTTTTTCCTATTTGTCGTCCCCACCACATTCCCCTTCATTATGTCCCCACGACTTTGTCTAATTGGATTGCCAGGCAATCAGTACCCACCGAATGAAACTTTCTCTATATAATTATATATTGACGATGAAAACTTTTAAATGTAGGGGCTGTAGTTTCTGTTTTTGCTAACTGATAATCGCTTCCTACTAATCTTTTTTTTTTTGACTAGACGCTTGGGCAAATAAAACACTCATTCAAATACTTTAACGTTGAACCCACCACCAACACTAAATTTTTAGCTCCACCATTGGGTATATAATTCTCCCTTAATTATGTCGACGTGTCAAGTTTGTTGTAGGAAAGTACTATCCTACCACACCCTCACATCATTTTTTCGATACAAACAATATTGGGAGAGAATTCATACACACCGTACATCTTGACCGCTTAAGCTAAAAGTCCCTTAATTACCACTATCACATCATTAAAAATCAACATTGGTTAGAATAAATGTAAACATTACCTAACATCATGGTGAACATTACACGTCTTGTAGTTTCCTAAGACTATGATTTAGACATGGTGAACATTACACGTCTTGTAGTTTCCTAAGAATATGATTTAAAATCTTGATTAATGTATCAGATTTGACCATTTGAGTACCGTTTTAGGATAGTTCATTATCAAATCTTAGACTTTAAGTATGAAATTCTATGTGAATGACTATTCGCAAATTGATTCTAATGAATTAAATATTTTATAATTCAATATATGTGAGTTAAATCAGTTGTGCTTTTTTGCAGTCGTATTCGATCTCTCCTCCCATAAATAGATTAGAGTAATTTCAAATAAGTTACAATATCATTTCCCTAAATTATGAGTGGGGGTGGAGTTAACGTGGATTAGTTTAAGGGTACAAATACCATTTCCCATATTTTTCTTTTGCTTTTGAAAACATTATTGTGTTGAGGCGATGAAGTTAACGTGGATTTGGGAGACAGGGAGAGAGCTATCAACGGGGGGTTTGTGCTGGAAAGGCTAAAGTTTACACGTGGCATTAAGGTCATGTGGAGTTTGTCACCGTCGTACAGCATTGGGTCCACATGGCAGTTGCCAGAGAGTGGATGTTGAGCTATTAGAATATGCGGTCTTCCTGTTTATCGTTGAGCCTTTAAATGACGCTTTTAGCCTTTTCTCCTTCTCAATGACCTTGTCGGTTGATCTTCATTATTATGCCCTGCCTTCCCCAGCTGTCACCTTGTTTTCATCGATATATATATTTTTTACAACAATTATTTACCCCTTTTTCGTTTGACTAAATTATAGCTTTATTTTTTAGGTCAATCACTAAATAAATAGTAACTAGAGCCCTTGGAATTAGGTTTTCTTGTTCTTCTTTTGCTTTTATATATTAAATTTTGCTTTAAAAAATCAGATAGAGATATTTATTCAAAAATTCATTTTAGCATGACATATTATACAAAAAATTATATACACAGCCTATTTGGAGAGAAAAATACAAAATTAGCCACTTGTCATTTCCTAATTATTTTTTAGCTTGTTAAAATTGACGCTTTTAGCCTTTTCTCCTTCTCAATGACATTGTCGGTTGATCTTCATTATTATGCCCTGCCTTCCCCAGCTGTCACCTTGTTTTCATCGATATATATATTTTTTATAACAATTATTTACCCCTTTTTCGTTTGACTAAATTATAACTTTATTTTTTAGGTCAATCACTAAATAAATAGTAACTAGAGCCCTTGGAAAATAGGTTTTCTTGTTCTTCTTTTGCTTTTATATATTAAATTTTGCTTTAAAAAATCATATAGAGATATTTATTCAAAAATTCATTTTTTTTTTTTTGGGTATGAACCATGAGGTGGTCCTGGATGGGCCCCAACTATGGGTGGCACCTTTAAGCCTTAACCACAACCCAGACTAATCCCCACTCACACCGGGTCGGCCCGTAAGGGGTAAAGTGTTGGCCAAAGTGGTGACTCCGTATGAGAGCAGGGATCGAACCCCTGACCTCTCTTAAGGAATGAGAGTGCCGAACCACTCACACCAACCACCTTGGTTATTCAAAAATTCATTTTGGCATGACATATTATACAAAAATTTATATACATAGCCTATTTGGAGAGAAAAACCCAAAACTAGCCACTTGTCATTTCCTAATTATTTGTTAGCTTGTTAAAATTTTATAAAAATCGATTAGAAAATAACAAAGGGCTAGTTTTGAATTTTTCACTCCAAATAGACTCTATAAAGACTTCTATATATTATGTCATTCTAAAATGGATTTATTAGTGAAATTTTGTTAAAATGCATTTAGAATTTTTGAAAGTGATTGACTCTTATTTTTATTGATTTGTTTGTTCTTCTTTTGCTCTTTTATTTAATACAAAAGTTTTAAAATTATTTTTGTTCTTATTTAATTTTTATATCTTCAAATACGGAATTTTATAATTTTTGTTTATATATAAAAAAATGTTTTTTATTTTAAATTTTTTATTAACATGGGTTAATTTAGAGATTTTGAATGTTTAACTACTTATATATAGATTTGAATGTTTAACTACTTAGAGCATCCATAGTGGGGGGTGTATATGGGGGTGTATGTTAAATATACACTCCGAGTCACCGGAATCATCTCCAATGGTGAGATGTAAATGGATGTAAATATACATCACCACCATGGGGATGTAAAATAAAATGTATATTTACATCCATTTTTACATCTATTGCAGGTGGGACCCACCCGAGAAAAGAGAAGAAAGATGAAGAAAAGTCAACATAAAAGGTTGGGACCTACGGCTACACCCTCGAATTTACACCCCCCACTAGAGCAAAAAATATATTTACACCCCCGAAGGTGTAAAAGGGATGTAAAAGTGGCTTTACACCCCCGAATTTACACCCCCCACTGTGGATGCTCTTATATATAGAGATATAGATATAGGTTACCGAATCTATTCCAAAAAAATAAAAATAAAAATTTGGCGCAAGTTTTACTCTAAAAGTACCCGCCACCTGGCGAACAGCGCCATTACCCTCCGTACAGCGTGGTAAAATCGAAAGCGAAGTATGGGTAAATGTGTCTTTGTAGCAACACCACTAAATCCCAGCTCGTCTGGCGTCGCGTGTGCGCTCAAGGGCAAAGAGAGAGAGAGAAAGAGAGAGAGAGAGAGTTTGGCTTTGGTGCAAACAATGCACGGACAAACAACACCGAAGCAGTGAGAGGTTTTTTAGGATAAAAAAATTGGGATGAAGAGAGAGAGGAGAGAGAGAAAGAGATAGACTGATATAGTGTGAGTGAGTGGGAGTTTTCATCAGAGACCTCTCTCTTTGTCTCTGCTCAGATCTTCCAAAATCCACACACAGGTTGAGGAGAAAAAGGAAGAGGAGGAAGAAGAAAAGAAGAAACTCGTTCCGCAAAGCAATGCCTGCAATGCCCAAAATCCGATGCTTCAATTTTGACGTTTCTTTCAGTTTCATGCAATAAATACAGCAAAAAAGGAAAAAAAGAAAAAGAAAAGGCCGAGCCAAGCCCTAAAAGTTGCTCAAAATTACAGCACCTGTTGCAGAGAAGGTGAAGCGCTCTCGTAGCTTCATACTCTCTTGCATTTTTTATTCTCTCTCATATTTGCATTCTCAGATTCTGTACCTTTTAGTTTGCAGGTGCTTTTTCTTTTTCTTTTTCTATTTTCGGCAAAAAACACAGCGGCTTCTTCCTCAAGACGACGGCGAAGAACTGTGAGTTGACGGCGATATATTTGTTGTTTTTTTCCCAGTATTTTTGAGTTCGTTCCTTCGTGTCAAAGAGATAAAGCAAACAATATATTTTTCTTTTGATTTTATACCTATTTTTTCGCTTTTGTTTATTTTGTTGGCGTTGAAAAGCAAGTCAAGAAGCGTAAAGGTTAAAATTGGAGATTTCGTTATCTGATATTTTGCGTCTTTTGGATGCAGTTGAAATGCACTCTCAATTGTTCTAAAGCTCCGAAACCTGAAGATCTCCAATGGAAATGCGTTTTCGTTTCTGAAAACCCAGTAAATTTCACTGAGATTTCAATTTTCAGAGTAATTGCTTGCTTTAGAACTTCAAATTTGGTTCATATCTCGTTGATTAAAGTCAAACCGAAGTGATTATGGTGAAATGCAATCTGTAGCTGTGAGCCTGTGAGGTGTTAGTTTACACAAGTCGAGCTTGGTCCATTTTGAGAGGAAAAAATGGCGTCGTCGTGGGACCACTTCGGAGAAATTGCAAATGTGGCTCAGTTGACCGGCCTCGACGCCGTGAGGCTGATCGGAATGATTGTGAAGGCGGCGAGCACGGCGCGAATGCACAAGAAAAATTGCAGGCAATTTGCGCTGCATCTGAAGCTGATCGGGAACTTATTGGAGCAGCTCAAGATCTCGGAGCTTAAGAGGTACCCGGAGACGCGCGAGCCCCTTGAGCAGCTCGAGGATGCTCTGAGAAGGTCATACATTTTGGTCAATAGCTGCCAAGACCGGAGCTATCTGTATTTGCTTGCAATGGGATGGAACATTGTGTATCAGTTCAGGAAGGCTCAGAATGAAATTGATAGATACTTGAAGCTTGTGCCTCTGATTACTCTGGTGGACAATGCTCGAGTCAGGGTATTGAATTTTTCTTTTTATTCTTTGTTCTTTGGTTTTGTTTTTCATGTTGTTGTTTTTATTATTGTTTTTGTTTTACTCATTTGCTTTGTGGACAAATTCATGAGTTTGGGTTGCAACTTGCAAGGAATATGTGATCTTCATTGAAATTGGACCTTTTAGTTAGATTTTCCTTCTTTCGGTGATTATGCGCTATCCACTGTTCATCAAAATTGCTTCCGGGTGCTAGTTGAAGTTTGAACTCCTGTATTTTGCTTTTCTTCATTGTTGGATGTCTAATTTACTCAATGGGTAGGCTATCTAATGTTGAAGTGATAAAGATCGCTTACTTTGAGTAGCTGGGATGTCTAGTCTAGTCGGTGCTTTAGTCAGAGCGTTAGATGTTTAAGTGGCATAGATGGCTTATTTTACTCGCTATGACTTTTGTTTTCCAAGGATGTATAAACTGACATGGATTGGGCACTGAACCTCGACTGGCAGTTTCTGACATATTGGATCACCAAATCATGCTTTAAATAAATTCTAAGAATTTGTCAATGTTGTTTGTAATTACGAATTACAGTTAGCACTATATCTCTTCATTAACAAGCATGTGCTTCTCCATTTACCTTTTCTTTGTCTCCAGATCACAATCTATTTTCTACATTATTCCCCACATGTAGAATTAGACTAAATTATTTACAAGATTGCTAAATTTGAGCTGTTCCTGCTAATCTATAACAGTTTAACCTGATTTAAGTTCATTCATTCTTCTCGCAACTACAGGAGAGACTGGAAGACATTGAAAAGGATCAACGTGAGTACACATTGGATGAAGAGGACAGAAAGGTACAGGATGTGATCCTTAAACCGGACCCCTCGAAAAATGACACTGTAGTGCTGAAGAAAACACTTTCTTGCTCCTATCCAAACTTGGGTTTTAATGAGGCGCTCCAAAAGGAAAATGAAAAGCTTCAACTTGAACTACAGCGGTCCCAATCTATTTATGATGTGAGTCAATGTGAAGTAATTCAGCGTTTGCTAGAAGTGACAGAGACTGTCGCTTCAAAGTCTTCCCCCGAAAAAAATAATAAGAAAATAGAGCGGAATTATTCAGATGCCAATAGTGAGAAAGAACCTTCATCTAATGAAAGCTATCAGAAAAGTGAATCTCGCAAAATTTCAAGGTTAGTTTTCTGTTTATTTTAGTACATTTGTCATTTATGTTTAGTCTAAATAGTGCAGTTAAAATATTACTGTTGCATTTGGTGAATGTAATAATTGGTGATGTACATTTGCTAATTTCAGTCTTGGCACTTCTCAACATTGAATGATCTCCTCCAATCAGAATTTTCTGATGAGAGGAGCTATATATGTTATGCAAGGGATTCAGATTTCCCTATCTGTTTATGCACTCACATCACTGAACTTTTGGGGTCTTTGAAAATATGATTTTGCATTTGTCTGTGCAGAAACACATCTTCAGTTTCTTCTGGACATGATTTGCTGTCAACTAGAGGTTCACATCGCCATGAAGAATGGAATACTGATCTACTTGGATGTTGCTCAGAACCGTCTCTGTGTAAGTCTCTTTATTCTTTTCGTGTAATGGTGTGACTTAATACATAATCAACAAGTTTTATTGCATTAGCATTACTTTGAGGAGCTATATATGTTATGCAAGGGATTCAGATTTCCCTATCTGTTTATGCACTCACATCACTGAACTTTTGGGGTCTTTGAAAATATGATTTTGCATTTGTCTGTGCAGAAACACATCTTCAGTTTCTTCTGGACATGATTTGCTGTCAACTAGAGGTTCACATCGCCATGAAGAATGGAATACTGATCTACTTGGATGTTGCTCAGAACCGTCTCTGTGTAAGTCTCTTTATTCTTTTCGTGTAATGGTGACTTAATACATAATCAACAAGTTTTATTGCATTAGCATTACTTAAATTTTTCCCTTAATGTTCCCTGTGCATCTCAAATTAAGTTCTGGGGATATGTGTAGTATTAATTTCATATAAATGCTCTAGAATATTATCAGGGTTGGGTGGTCAATCAAGAGCATCATTAGACACTAAGCACTAAAATTGACAAATTGTCCTATATCAAATGTTTGAAGGGAAAACTGTTCTGTATATGCTAAAATTTTGCAGACTTTTTCCTTTGCAGGTATAAAGACATTCTTCTATCCTTGTGGGACGTTTTCTAAAATTGCTTCTGTGGCAACTAACAGGCATATGTGTAAGTTTCATCTGGATTATCTGCACTGCATGTTAAACTGTTAATGTACCGCAAAATCTTAGGAATGGGTAAACAATGTATATCCAGCTAACACCCTTGCTCACATGCAGCCCCAATTTGCATGTGGTCTGGTAGAGAGAAAACATAGGTGTCCAGCCCCATTCTGCATTGCAATGAGTTAGAAAGTATCTGGGGAATGGGGAATGAGATGCTTTGAACCCAAAACCTCTTAGAACCAAAGATCTAATATCGTTTAGACTACCAACTTGGCCAACACATTAAGGAGAAAATGTCCCTACAATCTATATCAAGGTAACCATGATGGGGTTGCGTACTGGAAAGATTTGGAGCCTATTTAACTAAGCTATATCTGAATGCTTCTTTTGCATTTTGTTCAAGTCTCGTACTTTCACGTTATAGAGTTTAAGCTAAATTAAGTAACTAGTGGCCTTAGCCTTCGGTACCACCAGTACATTTTTCATAGAATCTCTGACATTACTTTGTTGAAAATGGGTTGATCAAATTGTGATCTGGTCTTTACTATACCATTGCGATCTTTGGTATCATAAATCCCTGCTAAAATGACATCTAGACCCTGAATAAATGCCAAATGTGCGTTGATGTTGAATTTGTAGTATAGTCTGGATTGTAGTGATGCCTGATTGGTGTGCTATTAGTTTGCATAGGATGCAGAAAACCAGATGATTTTTGAACAATCCCTATACAAAATATTACATAGAAGTTTTAACGGAATCTCATTTTTCCTTTGATACTGAGTACTGTCATTAATGCGAGTGAATGTCTAAACCCATCCTTTGGATCTAAGGTTTACATGATTCTCTTGTGCTACTGAGTTGTGATGGCTTTATAGTTGTGACGGGGCCATAATTTTGAATGTGCCATGATTTGATTTAGAGAAGACAATATTTTATGCCTTGTCGAGTGCGTATGTAGAAACTAACTATTTTTCCTTTAATTTAGCTGTGCTTTCACATTATTTCCACACCTACTGTTAAACAAAGTTGCAACACTGCAATATTGATTTTCTTTTTGGCCGTTGGGATATTGACATTCTGCACATGGCTTTTGTATACTGTTGGAAACTCATACAGAAATTCTTTTCTATGATTATCAGCTTCAGCAGAAGCATGTAATGAATTGATGGCTTATTCGTTAGTATTGTCTTGCTGTTGCTATACATGCTGCATTCGAAGGAAACTTCGCAAGACGTTGAATATCTCGGTAATTCCTTTCCCAGTTTCCACACTGAAATTACAAAACCGCTGTAATTCATCTTCGCCACTGCATATCATGACATGTATTTTGTGACATGACAAGAACCCACTCTAATCATTCTCCTCTGTTCTGCTCTGCTCTTTCTTATTTCTCTTTTTGGCAGGGAGGCTTCATTGATGACTTCCTTTCACATTTTATGTGTTGCTGCTGTGCCCTTGTTCAAGAATGGCGAGAAGTTGAACTACGCGGGATTCCTTATGGTAAGTGCTTCCATGCTTGAGCCTTTGTATCTTTGGTCAAACGTAATCGGTATCTTGTATATAAAACACAATATTATGATCTCTAATCTCATCCTTTTCACTGCTTCTAAACCAAATATGCAAAGTGTTTGATATAAAACCAACTTGCAGGTGCTGAGAAGACAAAAATAAGCCCTCCACCCTCACAGTACATGGAAACCTAACTGATAATGGAATTTTGAGATTCATCCACTTTGAACGCCATATGTAGAGGTAATGGCTAGTTGCCATTGTTACAGGAAAACTTATTTTGGGGGAGTTTATGTCTCACTAATTTTCCCATATGTAAATTAGCTTTTTTTGTATTTTTTATTTTACTCAGCACATTGTGTATCATAGACTTTTGCTTTTCTTTTTCAAAAAATAGTATAGAAGTGCTTGATTTTACCAATTTGTTTTATATGATTGTTTTTCCTTTTTTCTTTTGCTTTTGTGACTTTGCTTTTTCTACATTTAACCAATAGGATTGATAGATCCACATTTGTGGGGTGCTTAAAGGAGGTTTGGTGTTGGTCATAAAATTATCACAAAATCTCGTCTTTTAAGTATTATTATGCATGCATTTGCAACCAGATACATAGAAAACGATCACAGCGTCTTTGTTTTGCAGTCAGTAGGGCCCCGCCAGGTGTTAGAGAGAGCGACTCCACCAATCTCATTTTCATTGGAAAATAAAATGGGAATTCTGTTTATTCAATTATCCTTTTCAAATCTGGCAATCAAATATTAACTTAATAGTGGTTGTTGCTAATTACCAACAAAATAAAATAAATTGCAACGGGTTTAGCAGAGTGGAAAAGGGCATTGACTTGCATATTAGTGTTCTTAAGTTCGAATTTTCATGGCATTATAGTAGTGTGTGTGAGAAACTTCTCATTTTGTTAGTTTAGATTATTGCTTGTATTAAAAAAAAAAAATTAAAGTAAATGGGATTCACATAAATTCTTTTAGTATAAAAATTGTGTTGTATCACATTTTCTTTATATTATTGTTAGCTAAAGAGATTCAAATTTAGAATTTCTTCCACAAGGGGAAAATTCACTATTTCACCCACCGTTTGAGAAGAGAAATACAACTAAATAACTCTCGTTGTACTTACCAACAGAACTTTAGTTCAAGGTTGACCCGTAAATTTACCCATAACTTCTTACTTGGCCGATAAATAGCAACGGGTCTAGCAGAGTGGAAAAGGGCATTGACTTGCATATTAGTGTTCTTAAGTTCGAATTTTCATGGCATCATAGTGTGTGAGAAAATTCTCATTTTGTTAGTTTAGATTATTGCTTGTATTAAAAAAAATAAAAATAAAGTAAATGGGATTCACATAAATTCTTTTAGTATAAAAATTGTATTGTATCACATTTTCTTTATATTATTGTTAGCTAAAGAGATTCAAATTTAGAATTTCTTCTAAAGGGGAAAATTTACTATTTCACCCACCGTTTGAGAAGAGAAATACAACTAAATGACTCTCGCTGTACTTACCAACAGAACTTTAGTTCAAGGTTGACCCGTAAATTTACCCATGACTTCTTACTTGGCCCAATCCACATTTCTGAAGTTTCTTTTTGGTACGCACTTTTCTGAAGTTGTGGATTTCTGTCTCACTACTTTTGTTTTGAAGGTTCTAAAGGAAGGGATTAAGAATAATAACTTATTGCGTTATAGGTGTCGATGGCCTAATTACTTTTCCGCCAGAAAGCTACCAAGTCCAATCATTGCGCAAAATGTAATTTTATAGCACAAATCAAATAATTGAGTTGAATTTTACACCACAAGAATATCTTTTCCCCATTTTATGCATGCCATACTTGCATTAGGCGTGCCAAATCTTTTTGGTTTAATATGTCGCTACATTTTATATAAAAAAACAGTATACCTTTACCAATTTTGACAATTATAACTATAAATCTTAAAATTAAGATGATAATACCAAGTCCAATCATTGCGCAAAATGTAATTTTATAGCACAAATCAAATAATTGAGTTGAATTTTACACCACAAGAATATCTTTTCCCCATTTTATGCATGCCATACTTGCATTAGGCGTGCCAAATCTTTTTGGTTTAATATATCGCTACATTTTATATAAAAAAAACAGTATACCTTTACCAATTTTGACAATTACAACTATAAATCTTAAAATTAAGATGATAAATCCGGTTCATGGTGAATACTTAGATTTAGTCAAGTTTCCGATATTTGACTTATATTCTTTAACACGCCTCCTTATGTGGGACCACTACATAGTAGGCTACACGTGGAGTCAAATATTCAAACCCAACACTGAACACTGCATGTTGGGTAAGAGTTAAAGGTAAAGACCCAGTTAATTAATCCGCTTTGATACACTAAATTACAATAATAAATAAATAAAAATTACAATAAGACTAAATAAATAAGTAAGGAACTAAAATTCTAACTAAATAAAGACTCACCAAAACATTTATGGTACTTTATTAATAAAGTGTCTTAATAAAAAAAAGAAGTTATGGTCAATTTATTATTTTTTTCGTTTTTTTGATGAGCGGTCAATCTAACTTGCTAATAATAATATTGAGTTGCAAAAATAAATCAATAGGTACGACCGTCCACGTGTCCAAACCCTCCTCTATAAATGAAGTCGTTTCATATCCCTTGCCATCTCACTCTTCGTCTATTTGTTATTTTTCGTGCGAAAGCAAAATCACTCACTAACCAGAAACACAAAGCGGTCTCTCTCGCTCTCTCTCTCTCTCGCCTTCGAGTTTTCTAGGGATATCCAAAACCCGTGTCGTTTCGAAACCCATCCATCGTCATAACCATCATGTCGTCGTCGTCAAAGAAGATCACCCTGAAGAGCTCTGATGGCGAATCGTTCGAGGTTGAAGAGGCGGTGGCTCTCGAGTCGCAGACCATCAAGCATATGATCGAGGACGATTGCGCCGACAACGGCATTCCTCTGCCCAACGTGACGAGCAAGATCTTGGCCAAGGTCATCGAGTACTGCAAGAAGCACGTCGACGCTGCCAAGCCTGATGAGAAGATCTCCGAGGATGATCTCAAGGCTTGGGATACGGACTTTGTCAAAGTTGACCAGGCAACCCTATTTGATCTCATTCTGGTACGTTAATACCCTATCTTAACCCTAATATTGATTTGCTTATTTGTCGCGATTGTTTTGTTCGAGTATAGGGTTTCGGAAATTGGGGCGTGGATTAGGTTAGGGTTTCCGAATTAGGGATTGGGTTCAATCTTGTTTGAATTTTGGATATGTTTCTATCTTTAGAGGTTAGGTTTTTACTCAATTAGATGTTTTCTATGATGATTGGGTTGGTGATGCTGCGATTAAATTGATTTGGCTTTCTGTTCGGGATTTGATTTGGGAGTGTTTGTTAATTTGAATTCTTTACTGATGGGATATCTTGATAATGAAAATTTGTGCGTGTACAGCAACTTCTTCAAGTATGTACTGTGCATATGTTGAAGTTGAGATAAAGATGCGATAGCTTCATAAATTTTGTTGCCTTCTCTACTAATGCTTATTTTGTGTTTCTATAGAAGTTGAGATAAAGTTCACTAATATGACAATCTATCTCTTGAGGTGCTCGTATGTAGATTGTGGTAACAATTAACTAGTTTTCTTTGTAATGGTATTGTTCTAGTTCAGCTAATTGGATTATGAATGTTATGTATATGCATGTTCTGAAACTACAGTAATTTGGTTTTTTTAAAATTGTTAATGGGGGTGGCTAGAAAGTCTGACATAGCTGATTGCTGAAGCTTACCTGGAATATTTTTCTAACATGTTGCGATATCTGTTCACAGGCTGCAAACTACTTGAACATCAAGAGCCTGCTGGACCTGACATGCCAGACTGTTGCGGACATGATCAAGGGGAAGACCCCAGAGGAGATCCGAAAGACCTTCAATATCAAGAACGACTTCACCCCGGAGGAGGAGGAGGAAGTTCGTCGCGAGAACCAGTGGGCATTTGAATGAAGTTATTGGTGGTGGTGTTCCTTTAGTTGGAACTTAAAACAAGGGCATACCCTATCATGTATTCTAGTTAATCAACTGACTTCTTATCATTCTCTGGTTTTAAGTACCTTTTATGGAAGTTGTGAGTCCTTTTAAATTGTAGATAAAACTTGGATTCTGGTATTGGTAGTGGTTCGTTTCGTTCTGCTGTCAATCCCACCGTCAGTTCACTATTATGAATCAAATCTTTTGCTGCCATCAAGTTGATTTCTGTGGTTTTATCTAACTGAAAAGGGAGATTTTCATTAGAGCGCAACTGTTATGTATGCTGCCCATGGATTTTTGGGAACTTATCAAAACCAGTGACTTGATGAAAGACACAGAATGCCACAAAAAGTTTGAAAAATTTTCTGTAGCTTTTTAAAGATAATGTCAACCCCATAGAAATAAGGAACAAAGAATCTAACCCAAAAGAAAAAGAGGACCACACTATACTTTAAACCAAAATAATATTTGACTAGACTCGAAAAAGAAGAAAATGATTGAAAGCAACGCTTTCATTACAAATACAAAATCACGTAATATCCCTGTACCCAAAAGAAGAATCCATTGATTAACCGTTTTTTTTCTTTTCTTGGGTATTCATTGATATCTCTCTCTTACAGAAACAAATTTTTCATCTGAGCATTCCCCATCTCGTTAGAAGGATAAATCACACGGCTGCTTTGGCTCAGGCCGTGCCGAGCATTCACCATCTTATTCGCTTGTGTGTCTGTAGTCATTGCTGTTAAAACTCAGTATTAAACAAGCTCAACTTCTTAGCCACTTCATTCATCATAATGCACAATTCTCTTGCCAATGTCGACCAACTCTGAAATTATGGACAATTTCATTCAACTCCACAAGATTGCATCCAGGCATTCTTCCAACCTTTTTTTCTTTCATCATATCTTTCACCCGAGCAACATCCTCCCATCGACACGCCACAGCATAGACATTCAGCAGCAAGCGATAGTACGCAATGTTTTCAGGTTCCTTGTCAATGAGGGACTTTGCAATTTTTTCTCCCATTGTGATACCTCCTTGAAAACGACATGAACCAAGCAAATTAGCCCATGCCAAGGATTCCGATGACAAGTCCTCAGCAATCTCTGGCATGTTCTTAATTATTTCCTCCGCCTCCTGGATAAGCCCCGCACCAGCAAAAGCATTAGCCATGCACCAATAGTGTGCAAACTTGGGCTTTACGTGGAATACATTAATCATTTGGCTGAAGTAATCTGCGGCTTCTCTTACAAGTCCAGCACGGGCACACGCACAAAGAACACCTATGAAAGTAATTTCATCTGGGATAATTCCTCCTCCATCATCATCTGGCCTCGAACTCCCCTTCGCATGGATGGTTTCATCGTCTTTTGATTTCATTCTCCCCACCATTTCACTATATAGGTTAAGTCCATCTTTAGGATTTCCATGGATGCAATGCCCCAAAATCATTGCATTCCAGCAAACCGGGTTCCTATTCGCCCTGCTCTCAAACACTCTGTGCGCCACTTCCACCCTTTTGCATTTACAATACATATCAATCAAAGCTGTGTTGATAACTATGTTCAACTCAAATAATTTCCTAATTAAATATCCATGAACTGATCTTCCTTCATTCAGTCTAGCCGACCGACCACAAGCTGCAAGCATATTCACCATGGTAGTGCTGTTCCCCTTCAATCCCATGCCCATCATTTTCCTAAACAGCTTCAATGCACACCCCGGCTTCCCACCCTTCCAATACCCACCAAGCATAACATTCCAAGAGACCACATTTCTCTCTGGCATTTCATCAAACAATCTATGAGCAAAGTCCAAATCACCGTATCTAGAATAGCCGTCGAGAATTGTATTCCAGGATACCAGGTCCCTTTCGGACATTTCATCGAACACCATTCTAGCAAGCTCAACTTTCTCACTACTACAATACATGTGAATCAAAGAGTTCTGCACTTGCAGCACAGAGTCAAGCCCATGCTTAACCACCTGCCCATGGCATTTTCTCCCAGATTCAACAGAACCCATTTTAGCACAAGACCCAACAAGGGGCACAAAAGTATAGCTAGTGGGAGCAAACCCATTTCTCAGCCATTCGAAATAGACCACCAAAGCTTGGTCGGGCACCGAACTAACTGAGTAGGCTTTAATTACCGTATTGACGCAAAAAGTACCAGGCAAATCAATGCACCTGAAGATCAATATGACATAATCAAAATCTCTGAAATCAGAATAGCTCTTAAGCAACTTTCTGGCCCAAAACGAATCGAAAAGACCCCGCGTGATCAAATGGGCATGGATTTGGGTGATCTGGATCAAATTCTTACACGCATCGAGAAGCGAAAAAATATGGCGGTTAAGAGAGGGTTGGGACGAAGAAGAAGAAGAGCAAAATGGGGAGGATGATACAGAAAGATTGGGTTTTGATGGGTTAGAAGTGAGATGTCCGAAAATGGAGCTCCTGAAGTGAAAAAGTTCTCGTCTTGAAATCCTTGCCATTCAATAGGGATAGGCTGTTGAACGAATCGTTTCGAACTCCGCTGGGTTTTCGCCATTAACGCACATTGGCAATCTTCTCTTTGCTTTAGCTTGGATTTCAGGCTGCTGCTTCTTTTGGAGGCGGGCAGTGAGATTCATTGGACTAAAACGCGACGTTTTAAACCATGACGTCAGGTTCGCGGGTTTTGTTTGTGCTTTCACCAAAACGGTGCGTAGCAAGGAGGGGTAGTATTGTGTCTTTGGGGAGAGCCTCTCCAGACTCCAGAGGGAGGTTGGCTCAGAAAAGAAAAACGGAGTTGAGAGAAAAGAAATGGTGAGAGGAAGCATTAAACTTCTCAAGGATGCTGGGTCTGGACTCAGCAAGGCCCTCTCTGAGATCCTCGTCTGCCCGCTTTCCAAACAACCTCTAAGGTCAAATGCTCATCTCTCTATTTTCTATTCTTCTCATTTTTTATAATTTTGTTTTTTGTGTGGTAATTTTAGTTGGTTAAATTGGCTTGTTTGTGGGTTATTTGGTAGGTTTTGTGAGGAAACGAATTCCCTAGTCAGTGATTCAATTGGTGTCTCCTTTCCTGTGAGTTCCAATTCTAATTTTGAAGCAGCAATTGAGTTGTTGTTATTATTATTATTTTTTTCACTTCAGTTAACCATTATGCTGAAAATTTTGGTAAATCCAGTTTTCTCTGAAGTAACAATCACAGTGCAGCATAAATTCTGTCTATTTGGTTTCTGTTCAGTTCATGCAACATGGGAATAATTTACATTAAAAGACCCTATTGTCTCTGTGAGAATTGATAATGCCCTTTTACTTTGCTAGAGGTTATCTTCAGAGTTGAGCATGAATGATCGTCAAACATTTCAGATTTTCTATGTGTTTTTGCCTTTATAGCTGATGTCCTGTATGATTCTTTCTTGTACTGATCATTTGATAGATAAAGGATGGGATTCCTTGCTTAGTACCAACAGACGGCAAGGCCCTTGACCTTGAGGCCGATGATACAATAAAACCCGAAGATGATGTGACATCATCAGTCGAACACGAGGCAGATCGAGGAGGCAGTCACTAGGTTGAATTTTGAAACTCGTGGTATTGTCACAAAGTGAGTTACAATTGCAAATTCTCATGTGTCTCCTTTTTAAAGCTTTTTTGTTGAATTGAGTTCTTCATTAATAGTAAGCAGATGGAAAGGTCACATGATTAAATTTTCTTAAAGTGAATTCTTATTCCATTTGTGAGGAAATTGCCTGAGGAATTTTTGTATGGCTTGTGACCCGATAACTTACGAATGATTCTGTGCTTTATTATCTGAGAGGAATTCTGTTAGGGATGCTCTTGGAGATTTCTTCCAAGATGAAAAATTATACTAAGAGTTGCCTGTCATGAATATTATTGTTTGGCTGAGTAATTCATTTATCATTTCCATGGCTGCCATGTCTTAATCTCTGTTATTAGCTGTTGTTAAAAGGATGAAAAGTTTGTCTGTTGTCTAGAATGCTTTCCAATGGCTTTTGCTTTTGGTTGATCTTTCACAGGCTCGCATTTCTTCTATGTGCTATGTTTGGGTGCCTAGGTTTTACAAGATCCGTGTGGGAATTAAGACTAATAAGACTTGTATTCGTTTCTGAGAGACATATAAGATTGCTATGGTAGCTGGTTATCTTCTGTCACCCCACCCACACCTCTCTTGCTTCAGCTTCACTCTCCCGAGTCCCGGCCCTTGCGGTTATGAAAATGTCTATTTTACTTCATCAGAGTCTCTCCTGGCTCTATTATGCTTGTGTCAAACAAAACACATGATGTTTTAAGCTGTTGGATGAAAATCCAATGATTTAGCATGATAAGACTTAAAACCTAAATCTGCCCTGTATGCATGAAATCTATTCTATTTAGTACATACATGATACATTACATACGTGGCTCTCCTCCTCCTCCCTTACCCTTTAAACTATCTGTGTACCGTTGCCCAGTTAGAAATCCAAGCCTTGAAACACCTTACATTCATTTTCCAACAATACCTAAGCAACGTGTCCAAATGTTAAGTAGCATTTGTTTGACACTTCCTAGTGTGTAAATTTTTGAAATGTAATGAATGATTTTTCATTCCTCCAAGTTCAATTTCCTCATCTAGGTTGCCTTGTCCAATTTTGCTCTCGCTTTTGCGCCCTTGGGATAAAAGCCAACTATAAAATAAAGTGATTCTTGTGGGGAGAGAGAGAGAGAGAGAGCCCAAATTAGCTAGATAGTCCGCAGCCTTGTTTTGCACTTTAAACTATGCAATCTTCAATTAAGGAGGCGTGTACCCCATCGTGGGCAGTATTTCAAACTTATCACACATTTGTCATGTCGAAAAATTACGTTGTCAAGTCCAATATACCCTTAACAACAACATCACGTGCATGGTCAAACTCCACGGATTTTGTCATGGTATGACCTAATTGCAACTACTTGTCAGTTAACGGATGTAATTGCCTAAAAAAAATATTGCGAGACTCAACTCATTTGAAATTCGTGGTAAAATTTAAGGACGTCTACAGTGAGATGGTTATTATTATAGTTTTTATTGAAATATCATGTTTGTTTATTTTGTTGGTTTCCATTAAATGTTTTAATAATTTTTAATTTACACTTTGTTTAGAATGAGTTACTTATGAAAGAAGATGTGTCTCTGAAAAAAATGAAAATCTGAAAAAATGGACGGTTTGGATGTTAAAAAATATTTCGTATGAGACCCTAACGTCTCTCAAAAGATCCTCAACAATAGGACTGATGGCGCGCGAAAGCAAATTCACTCACTGAACAACCAGAAACAAAGCGCTATCTCTTTCGCCTTCGAGTTTTCTAGAGATATCCAAAAGCGGGGTCGTTTGGAAACCCAACAGTCGTCATCACCATAATGTCGTCGCCGTCGAAGAGGATCACCCTGAAGAGCTCTGATCCCGCACTTTTCGAGGTTGACGAGGCGGTGGTTCTCGAGTCGCAGATCATCAAGTATATGATCGAGGACGATTGCGCCGACAACTGCATTCCTGTACCCAACGTGAGGGGCAATATCTTGGCCAAGGTCATCGTGTACTGCAAGAAGCACGCCGACGCTGCTAAGCCTGATTCGAAGATCACCGAGCACGATCTCAAGGCTTGGGATCAGGATTTTGTCGACGTGAACCAGGAAACCTTGTTTGATCTCGTTCTGGTACTTTAAAACCCTATCTTAACCCTAATAGCGATTTTCTTCTCGGTGGCGGGTGATTGTTTTGTTTGAGTATAGTATAGGGTTTCGGAAATTGGGGCTGGCTGTTTCCGAATTAGGGATTTGGTTCAATTTTGTTTAAATTTTGGATATGTTTGTTTTGTTAGAGGTAGGTTTTTACTCTATCAGATGTTTTCTATGATGGTTGATTGGTGATGCTACGATGAAATTGATTTAGCTTTTTGTTAGGTGTTTGATTTGGGAGTTTTTACGAATTCGAATAGGTTTATACTGTGTCTTCTTTACTGATGCGATGTCTTGATGATGAAATTTTGTTGCCTTCTAAAGTTAGGTAGTATGAAAATGTCTCTTTCTGTAGCATCTGTGATGTGTTTGTATTGATAATACTTAACTAGATTATTATGTAACGTTATTGTCTAGTTTGTGGTGATAATATGGTCAGAATAAATGGATAATGGATGTTCTGTCCGTTCTTGTTCAGAAATTACAGTAATTTGATATGTTGTTTTTCTAACATGTTGCGATTTCGTTTCACAGGCTGCAAACTTCTTGAACATCAAGAGCCTGCTGGACCTGACATGCCAGTGTATTGCAGACATGATCAAGGGGAAGACTCCGGAAGAGATCCGAAAGACCTTCAATATAAACAACCATTTCACCCCGGAGGAGGAGGAGGAAGTTCGTCGTGAGAACCAGTGGGCATTTGAATGAAGTTCTTGGCGGTGCTGTTTCTTTAGTTGGAACATGGAACTCAAAACAGTTCCATGCCCTATCATGTATTATAGTTAATCAACTGACTTGTTATCATTCTCTTGAGAGGTTTACATTCTTAGATTTTGACCTCATATCGCTTTTAGTTTCTCTCTTGTAAACATAATTCCCCGTAAGACGGTGTGTGTGTGCATAGCTGGTATCAGCGCCAGTACCTTTGGTCTTGAAGACTCAAGTCTGTAACATAGGTCTGGTATGTAATAAAATTCCATGTTATTTCTCACTACATGTATAATTATTCTGGTTTTCTGGTATCTGTTTGATATTGATCAATCTCAAACCAAAAAGGAAAAAACAAGATTAATTTATGTTCTCATCAAATTACACATGAAAATTATCTTGAAAAAAGGTGGGATCATATCGATATTCCTCTCTCTGTTTTAGCGTGGATTTCAGGCAACAGTCACAGAGAGCTGCTGCTTCTGCTAGAAGCAGGCAGTGAGATTAATTGGGACCAAAACACGGCGTTTTAAACCATGACGTCAGGTTCGTGGGTTTTGTTTGTGGTTTCAGGAAAACGGTGCGTATCGAGAAGGGAGTTCAGCTCAGAAAAGAAAACCCAACAGAAACCGGACTTAGAGAAATGAAATGGTGAGAGGACGCATTAAACTTCTCAAGGATGCTGCTGGGTCTGGACTCAGCAAGACCCTCTCTGAGATACTCGTCTGCCCGCTTTCCAAACAACCTCTAAGGTCAAATGCCCATCTCTCTATTTTCTATTATTCTCATTTTTATTTATAAAATTTATAACTTTGTTTTTTTTTTTGGGTAGGTTATTGGCTTGTTTGTGGGTTATTTGGTAGGTTTTGTGAGGACACTAATTCCCTAATTAGTGATGCAATTGGTGTCTCCTTTCCTTTGAGTTCCAAGTGTAATTTTGAAGCAGCAATTGAGTTTTTTTTTTCTTTCTTTTTCCTCCTAGTTTGCTCTGAAGTATCAATCACTGAACATGAACGATTGATAGAGGTTATCCGTTGATCTGAACATGAATGAGAATGATTTTAAAAAAAATTCATCTTTTCTGTATGTTTTTGTGCTGTATAGCTGATATCTTGTATGATTCTTTCTTGTACTGATTACTTGATAGATAAAGGATGGGATTCCTTGCTTAGTACCAACAGATGGGAAGACCCTCGAGGCCGATGGTACAATAAAACCTGAAGATGCTGTGAAATCATCAGTCGAACATGAGGCAGATCAAGGAGGCAGTCATTAGGTTGAATTTTGAGACTCATGGTATTGTCACAAAGTGAGTTACAATTGTGGGGTTTACTGCAAATTCTAATGCGTCTCCTTTTTCAAGCTTTTTGTTGAACTGGTTTCTTCATGTGTTAGGAGATGGATGGAAGGTCACATCACTAACTTTTCTTAAAGTGAATTCTTATTCCATTTGTGAGCAAGTGCTTGAGGAATTCATGAATGGCTTTTTACGCGATTCCTTTCAAATGATTCTGTGCTTTATGATCTGAGAGGAATTCTGCTAGGGATGTTCTTTGAGATTTTTTCCAAGATGAAAAATTAGACTAGGAGCTTTCATGAATTTTATAGTTTGGTTGAATAAATTCATTTTTCATTTCCATGGCTGCTATGTCTTTCTTTTCCTGTTATTAGCTTGTGTTAAAAGGTTAGGTTTGTCTGTTGTCTAAAATGTTTGTTTAATGGCTTTTGCTTTTGGTTGAGCTTTCACAGGCTCGCATTTGCCTGTGCTATGTTTGGGTGCCTAAGATTGTTAGCTGGTTATCTTCTATGTCACCCCACCCACATCTCTTGCTTCAGCTTCACTCTCCCTGCCCTCGCGGTTATGTTTTACTTCCTCGGAGTCTCTCCTCGTTCTAATATGTTTGTGTCAAAACACAGCTTGTTTTAAGTTGTTGGATGAAAATCCATTAATTAGAATGATAAAGACTTGAGACCTATTTATGTGTATGCATATATGAATCTTATATGTAGCTCTCCTTTACCTACATGACAGAGTAGCTCTACCTTACCCTTTAAACCATCCATACCATCGCCCGGTTAGAAATCCAAGCCTCGAGACACCTTACATTTTGCAAGGATACCTAAGCAACTAGCCCACATTTTAATTAGCATGGAATTACTGTTATTTTCTGTTGGAAGAGATGCTGTGATTTTCAGGAATTATTGTTTGAAGTTGAAGGAGGCAATCGCTTCTGTTTTTAAACACGTCATCCAATTCATTCTGGTCTTCAAAGGTTACCACTTGAACAAGTAGTCTGGTACGAGACATCAATCTACCTCCTGACTTGACAAGCAAGCAGTTTGTTTGACCCAGACATTTTTTCGGTTGCAAGTTTACATCGCAATGTTACCCTCTGCCATAAATCCCCTGGCTCACCAGAAAAAAATAAAAATAAAAAATAAAAATAAAAATTTGAATGATAGATCCAATTATGCCAAGATAAAAATACTAATTATTTGCCATCGACACTGATTAGTATTACCTTAGTACTTAGGTTTTAGAATAATCTACCTCAATCTACCTCCTAACTTGACAAGCAAGCAGTTTGTTTGACCCAGACATTTTTTCGGTTGCAAGTTTACATCGCAATGTTACCCTCTGCCATAAATCCTCTGGCTCACCAGAAAAAAAAAAAAAAAAAAAAAGAAAAAAAAAGAAAAGAAATTTGAGTGATAGATCCAATTATGCCAAGATTAAAATACTAATTATTTGCCATCAACACTGATTAGTATTACCTTAATTTTTTTTTAAGGTATCATTTGTTATAAATAGAAAATGAAGCAACATAGGGAAGCAAGAAAGCCAAAGTACTTAGGTTTTAGAATAATCTACCTCTGATTAATTAAATTAAGAAAGGTCAAGAGTAACACTCTCTGTAGGTGTAACTGCCTTGTGTTGTTCCTTTGAGAAATTGTTCCTTAACATATCAACCCTTCCAACCCACGCAAAACTGCTGACCACATTCTGTTTTCTCCGACTATAAACTCACCTTTTTCAAATGCTAATCTAATCCTTCATTAACAAACCCAAATGGTTCTCAATAGGGCAGCCTCCTTCATCTACAATTTCTTCAGTCCATTTCTAGGGCAGACAAGTTTTAAAGCTGCCCCATGTTGCTATGAGGTGATTGAATCAGAGGGTGGGAAAATAGTTGAGGAGGAGGTTTGTTGTGTGTGTTTGTCAAGATTGGTGGAGGGTGAGGACGTGAGAAGCCTCCCTTGCCTGCATGAGTTTCACAAGGTGTGTGTTGATAAGTGGTTCGACGCATGCCGGACCACCTGCCCGCTGTGCCGGTTTCCGGTGGGAGGGGACAAGTCTCAGGTGGTGGAGTTGCTGACTGAGGAGATGATGATGTATTTTTCTTCTTTTCATATATCTGGGTTCTAAGTTGTGAATTCCAGTTGATGTTTACTGGTAGTGTTAAATTTGCATGGCAATAGCAAACCACAGGAACATTGAGTGAAACCAAAATCTCACAACTGTGAGTGGATGTGTAAATGTTTTAAAAACAATCAAGGAGACTCTATCAACAGCTCCAACTCAAACCTGCATCTTTTGAATCAAACACACAACATTTCTTTCTTTAATTTAATTTACTTGCATTTGGAAAGAAAATTTCAAAATTAAAACAGTGAACATTTGAACGAGCGCAAGGCAAGCCCATTACATTGGGTTGGTAGAAATTTCCATCAATTCCATAAACAATCAGATGATGGGTGCGGCCCATTAAGAGGCCCAGATTAACTGAGTGCTTAAAAAGCAAAAAGTTCCGTTGCCGGGAATCGAACCCGGGTCTCCTGGGTGAAAGCCAGATATCCTAACCGCTGGACGACAACGGATTTGATGTTAAATTGTAGCACAAATATACTAATATTGGAGATCTGTATTCACTGCTCAAGCTTTTTGGACATAAAGTGTTTTCAGACCATATTTTCTCTTCGAGTTTTCTCTGTTGTTTGTAGATTAATACTCACAAACTTGTTGCATTGACTATCGACGAGAGACCAAACTTGTCTCTTTATTTAAACTACCCCAAATTCCATGAATATATCTTTAGACAAAGATTGACTCGGAAAATTTGAAGTTTCAAACACAAACGACGATATTAGAGACAAGTAGGTTCAATCACACTTTACATCTTGCAAACCAACAAAGAAAGAAGTGGAGACACAAACATATAGGTGGAGCCTCACTTTACACCTCACAAACAAACAAAGAAGTGCGTAATGAGAATTGAACTCAGCCCCCTAGTCCTATAAATTTAAGGGTTAACTGTCGATTTACCATTTGAACTTGTACGCTACTTTTAATTTACACATTTAATTCTTTTTTTGAAAAATTTAAGTACACGAACTAATTTTTATCGCCAATTCCCCCTGCCATATAAATATCAACATTTAATCTAATTTGCCGTTAAATATGAGGGTAAAAATTAGTCATTCTATATTTTAAAATAATCAAATACTACAAAATAAAATAATATGATTTTCAAAATGAGAAGAAAAAAAAATCAATCTTACTTACACCCTTTATGATGGGCATAATACTTGTCCAACATGTTTGAGCTCCTGAAGCAATCTTTTTTCATAGGCAAAATACTTATCATGAATTGTTTACCCTTCATCCACTGTTTTCCCCCCTATCCCTATTTGGAACTAGAAACCTTTCTCAAACCATAAATAGAACTTGAACTCCTAATCTGACGCGTGTCTTGCAAGGAGGAGAGGAGATGATACAAAACTAAGTCATGTATTTACCCTTGTCCTGACCCGCCGACAACAACAACCACATCAGTCCAAAACATGATTAACAGAAGCTAAAAACAAAAACTTCCCACTTTCCAAAAGTTAATTGCAGGCATAATCACTTGATTAACTTGCAACTAAGGGTCAGTAACTTTAGCCCCACATTATCATGATTGCTTCTTTTTAAACCGTCCTATAGGGGCATGGCATGTAATCAACCCCATGACCAAGATATGCCCTTACAGCCGACAACATAGGACATCAATGGCTGCCTGCCATAGCAAAGAAAAAGTATAGCTTCTGCATGTGGCTACGCCAAAGGGCTGACTAAAAACTCGGGATAAGAGATAAGAAAATGCAGAAAGCAATTGGCCAAGTGAAAAGTTATTCAACTCTATACATGTTCTTGGCATCCTATAAATTGTCCTTGCCATGATTCCCACTTACCCTTCAAACAGTTCACAATGGGGGGGTTTTCCATGAAAATGGAAAATTGGTTTCAAGAAAATGGGGGGAAAATATTTAGTGTCAAAGAAAGCGAAGGGAAAAAGAGATGGATACGAACAAAATAAACAAGACCCACCAAACTAAGTTCCTTCTTGTTGGGAAATATTTTTTTTTTCTTCATTTTTTTCTGCATACATACATTGAAATTTGAAAGTCATTGTTATAATATTCTAAAGCCTAAAACCTCTACTTGTAGAAAAAGGTGCATTCATTTCACCACCTAAATATTACCACAAAATATTGAAGCACCCATTGGTCCGGCTCTTATAACTCAAAATCAAAAGGAGGACCTTGGAAAAAAAAACAAAAAAAAAACAATGCACTGAGGTTTTTCAAAATGGAGCTGTTGAGGATCGATGAAGATTGTGCTTTTTGGGTTGTTGAGAAGCTGCTGCAAAACATAACTGCATATATATAAACAAGTCAAAAAAAATAAAACCACAGAAGAAAATAACTTTCTTTGGAAGCAGTAGTTTTGCTTATAACAAGTACAAACTAAGACTGCTTTCCTACCTGTTCTTGCTGCCTTTTGAGTCTTGTATTTTCTTCCATCAAATGTGCAACTTCTAGCTCCAACTCATTTGTGTAAGCCTGTTGGTACCAACCAGAAATCATAAAACCATAAATAGCAAAGGACTCAGTCCAAAACACAAAAAAAGCAAGACTTTAAAAAATAAAGAAGAGAAACAAATTTTATATGAATAACAAATTGGGGTTATTAGACAGATACATTCCTGCTTCCTGGCTCTAGATCGAGCAGCAGATTCTCTGTTCTTGATCATGCGATTATGTCTTCGATCTCCCCCCGAGTTGCTGTGATCAGAGTCAGGGAATGCTCTCTTCCCAAAAGAAGGCAAGCCAGAAGAGGAAGCAGCCAAGCTCTCAAATGGGGAAGCACTGAAAGAATTAGAAACACTACTAGAAATGTTGTTGGGGTTAGACTGATGGTGATGAGGATGAAACTCAGAGGAGGGAGGCCTAATAAGAGGGTCAGAGACATAGAAAAGCTGAAAGTGGTCAGAGCCAGAATTGGTCAAGCTGAGAACAGGGGGAGGGCCTGGTGGAGGCAGAGGAGGAGAGGCAGGGCTGTTGAGAGTGGCCTGCTCAGTGGGTGTGGAGACCAAGCTGACTGGAGGTTCATTGTGGGAAAAGGGTCTAGCAAGGAAGTCTTGAAGATTTCTGAAGTTTGGGTCGTGGGTTCCTTGAGGGAGATTAATGTGCTGAAGGAGTGATGATCTCCTGTTTGGGGTGGTCTCAGAGAGAGAGGCAAGATTGATGTCTTTCCAAACCTCTTCCATGGTTCTCTGGGGGGTTCGGAGGGAAAAGGT